CACACATCTGTCACTTTGCCTCTCAGAGTGAGGGGGGGGGGTAGAATGAGGTAATAAACATGGCTACTCTTAACAAAATGGCAGACTGCGTCAGTCTCTGGTGTGCACGTTTGCGACAGTGAGGTTCTCAAGCATGTTCAGATCCTAGTCCGAACTTATCTGTGTGAGCCACCAGGAAGCTGCCACTGTATTGGGCCAATCATGTGGCCAGGACATTCTCCACCCCACATATATAGGTGTAGCTGCAGGGTTGGGAATGCCTCAGTCATTTATGACTGGATCTCTACAGTGACAGCATCCTGGTGCCTTTCCCAGATGGGTTCAGATTGTATTCAAGTATGCCTGAGCTCATCCCTGTCCATAATCCATAAACCACATGTTCATTAAAGTGACCACAGTAGGTGCAGCATTTAGAGGCCACACAAGACCTCTTACTCAGGAATTCAATACATGCATTATTGATTATGGTTCCATGGTGTGCTGGTGACACGTTCTTACCTATGCTGATTCTAGTCAATGTGCTGGCAGTTGTCACAGTACTCTCTTACTCCTAGCTATACCCAGGAATGTGTTTAATGGGAATATAATGAGCGTGCAATCTCTAGTAAAGGGGGCTGAATACAAATGCACGCCACACTTTTCAAAATTTTTTTCAAATATCTGAAAACTATTTATAATTTTTCTTGCACTTCAGTTTTATGTGTTACTTTGTGTTGGTCTATCAAAATCCCAATAAAATACATTTACATGTTTTGGTTATAACTAGAGATGAGCGAATCGAACATGGCGAAGTGGAATTCGTTTCGAAGATCAGGAAAAAATTCGATTCGCGTCGAATCCAAAAATTAGCAAACTTCGGATGCACGAATTGAATTTTCCCAAAAATGGCGGCGACATGTGTGGCGACGGAGCGGGGATCTCTGGGAAGGCGCGCAGACAAGGCGCGCTGACCCATAATGCATTCATTCATGACATGTGATCGCATTAGCCAATCAGCAGCCAGCCAGCCAGCACTGTGTAATGGTGGAGCTATAAATTGCGGCCATCTTAGAATTCTCCATTAGCCTGTCCGGTCATTCAAGAGAGACAGACCTGTCTGTATTAGGGACAGAGTTAGGGCCACAGAGACTTTAGGGCCACAGAATTGTTACTCAGGGACACAGAATTGTTACTCAGGGACACAGAATTGTTACTCAGGGACAGACACAGAATCGTTACTTCAGGGACACAGAAATCGTTACTCAGGGACACAGAATCGTTACTCAGGGACACAGAATCGTTATTGAGGACACAGAATCGTTACTGAGGGACACAGAATCGTTGCTTGAGGGACACAGAATCGTTGCTGAGGGACACAGAATCGTTACTCAGGGACAGACACAGAATCGTTACTCAGGGACACAGAATCGTTACTCAGGGACACAGAATTGTTACTCAGGGACACAGAATCGTTACTTTCTGCTTCACAACCACTATTGAATTAAAGAGTATGTCAGACAACACGCAGAGGAGTGGCAGAGGAGGCAATGTTTCAGGAGCGAGCAGACGTGGCAGCAGAGGAAGGGGTAGAGGCAGCACTAGTCGCAGCCAGAGGCCAGTGCTCCCGGTGTCATCCAGCGTGCGGTCGTGTCTCCACCGACAACCCTGCCGTCATCGATTGGTTGACTCAGGGGGGGGGGGGTCGTCTTCCTCTTCCCAGGTCACACTCTGACACCTACAGCCAACGGTCGGTGGGTACGTTAGACACAACCGTTAGTTGGCATGGCCCGGGAGCAAGCCCACTGAAATCACGTGTCCTCTACCTGCCCCTGTCCTTTGGTGTTCCCTCACCAAGCGAAGTATCGCATGCTGTGGGCTCAGCCCCACTGTACAGTGAGGAAGAGCTAACAGAGGGCGGTCAGGAACGGGGGGAGACATCCGCCTCTTCAGCAGCCAGGCGAAGAAGTACTGGCGAGGAGAGTGGCTCGGTAGCCGGTCTAGAGACAGGTCTGTCTCCTGACCCACACGCAGCCGAGGGGGCTAGTAGTGACGCGGAGACCCTAATTGATGACGTTGAGAGGCTGATCGCACTTGGCAGGCCTCGTCGTCATCAGGCTATTGCTTCCGCGATCATCAGGAGAAGAGGGTGGCAGCTTGGCAGCGAGCAAAACAGTCGGTGGGTTGCCCAGGAGGCAGCAGGGTCGCAGCAGTGTCAGTGGAGCCAAACGGCCACGGAAGTTGAGCACCAGCTCCACTGCAGCCTACCACCACGGCCAGTAGTGGTGCCGGTGTGCACGGAGGAAGTAGCAGTCAGCCAGTGAGGAGTAGCGGGGGCAAAGTTTCCTACTCGGCGGTGTGTGGCAATTTTTCGTCAAGCCGCCCGAGGAAGTAAACGTAGCCGTATGTCGACTATGTGGCCAGAAAGTCAAGCGTGGCCAGGGGGCCCCATGTTGGGACTACAGCGTTGCGTCAGCATAGATATGCAGCGTCGCCATTCGGTGGCCTGGGAAAACCGTGATAAATGATATGGCGGTTCTGCCTGCCCCAGCCCCCGCTCCATCACCCGCTCCGTTACTTGCTCCATCACCCGACGTCAATCGCCCTCTATCAGCCAGTCAAGGCTCCAACACCTCTGCTGAGGGGAGTTGTCGCTCGTGGCATCTTCCGCTCGTTCAGATGCTCCTTCTCCTGCTACTCCTCTTCACGGATTCCGTCAGCAGTCTTTCTTGGAATCAGTTCAAGAGACAAACAGTTTGCGAGCACGCACCCGACGGTGCAGAAGCTGAACGTCCTCTGTCCAAGTTGCTGGTTGCTGCAGTCCCTTCCTTTCCAAGTGGTGGACTCAGCACCTTTCCGAGAAATGATGGCTTGTGCCGAGCCGCGGTGGAGAGTGCCAAGCCGGCATTTCTTCGCCAAAAAAGGCAGTGCCAGCCCTGCATTCACATGTAGAAGAGATGGTGGGCCAGTCTTTGAGCATGTCGGTCTCTGCCAAAGTGCACGGCAGCGCCGACCTGTGGAGCTGTAACTACGGTCAGGGACAGTACATGTCATTTACGGCCCACTGGGGTGAACGTGGTGCCGTCACAGCCGCACCAGCAACTTGGACAGGTCACGCCGCTTTTGACTCCACGTTTGCACGTCCTTGGTCCAGCAAAGATGTCCGCCTCTACCACCTCTTCTTCGCCGTGTCCTCAGCCGCCACCCCCGTGCCAAGTCCCATTACCCCGACCAGCATATCACATGTGCAGGGCGCAACGGTGTCACGCTGTGCTGCACCTGGTATGGCCTTGGCGAACGTAGTCACACAGGGGAGGAACTTCTGAGTGTAATGAACAGAGAAATCGACAGATGGCTGTCTCCGCGCGCAAACTGAAAATCGGAACCATGTTGACCGACAACGGAAAAGAACATGGTGTCTGCTCTGCGTCAAGGAAGGTTGTGCCATGCGCCATGCATGGCTCACGTGTTCAATCTGGTTGTCAAGCGGTTCCTAAAATCCACCATCCCACTGCAATGACTTCCTTAAAATGTCACGTGTAAAACTTTACATGCATTTCAGCCATTCCTACACCGCAAAGCACACCCCTCCTTGAGCTGCAGCGGCAGAACGGAATTCCACAGCATCGCCTGATCTGCGACGTTGCAACAAGGTGGAATTCACCCCCTACATATGTTAGACGCCTTTACGAACAGCGAAGGCCATCACCGATTTCCTGATGTTACAAAGCGGATAAAGGTACTCTCCTGTGTAACTTAGATGGTCAGCCATTGCCAGCTCATGCGTGACACCTGCCGCTTGCTCAGGCCCTTTGAGGAGGCCACGCTATTCGTGAGTCGGCAGGACTATGGGGATGAACGACGTCAGGTTCCTCTGTTGCACGGCCTGGAACAAATGATGTTAACAATGGCTGGTCAGGGTGCGGTAGACGTGGCGCACAGATCTCAACGCCACATGACCCCTGTGGGGGCAGGACAGGAAGAACAGGAGGAGGTAGAGGAGGACATTGGTGCTCAGGAATTATTGAGTGAAATGGGTGGTTTTTCCACTCAGCGGACAGGAGTGGAGGAGCAGGAGCATCTGGGTAGAGGAGGAGGAGGAGACAGAGGACCCAGACGCACCGTGGGCAGTATTGCTGTGGAGATGGAGGCAGGGAGTCCCTCGCATTCCTTGGCACAAATGGCCCATAGCATGCTTGGTTGCTTGCGTAGCGACATGCCGAAAAATAACCATCAGACAGAGGGATGAGGACTTTTGGCTGTCCACCTTGTTGGACCCCTCGCTACACCCGTTCTGAAAAAAATGGTGGCCTTTTTCACACCTGCTGAGAGGGAGGCCAAAATAAAGTACTATAAAAATCCACCTATGTAGTCAGTTGGTCTCTGCTTTCTGCGCCAACGTCATCCTCAGACACTGTGGGCCCTGTGCGCTCGCGTTTCCGCTGCCATGGCAGCAGGGGAGGGGGGGTGGGGTGGTAGTTGAGCAGTGGCAGCTCCACCAGCAGCGGCTGCCTCAGTCTGCAGTCGATGATGAGTAGCTTTCTTCACCAGCGCAGTGAGGAAAACTACTAACCAGCCGCATGCAGCAGCAGCATCAGGTGGACCTGGAGCAGGACCTCAAACAACAGGCTTGGGGCCTACTTGGACAGCACCCTGCCAACCGAGGTAGACAATCCCCTTGACTACTGGGCAACGAAACTTGAACCTTTGGCCCCAACTAGCTGAATTTGCCCTTGAAAGGCTGTCATGCCCGGCAGTAGCGTGGCATCGGAGCGCGTGTTTAGTGCGGCAGGAGGTATTGTAACTCCGCGGAGGAGGTACACGACTGTTCACGCCCAAAGTGTGGAGAGACTCACGTTTGTGAAAATGAATCAGGCGTGGATTAGTCTGGATTTCAACCACCAGTTCCCTGACACAACTGACTAAATCCGCCATGAATCATGCCCCAAACATGTTATTATTATTTTTAACATAGGCCTCTGTATGGCCTTCAATTTAAGCTGCTTACACTTCGCCACTCTGCCATGGGCCCCTGTACCGCCTCCTCTTGCTGCTGCCAGGTCCAGAGTGTGTCATGGTCCCTGTACGGCCTCCCATTGCTGCTGACTTCATCGCCAGACTCTGCCATGTGCCACTTTCAGGTCTCCTTACACTGTTGGTGGGTTCCATTTTTGTGATAGGGTGCTGTATGGCCTTCCATTGCTGCTGCCTCCACCGCCACCCTGCGCCATGTGCCTCGGGTCGTCTGCTGACGGCTTCCGCTTTTTAACCGAGGCCTGTGTTTGGCTTCCGAATACTGCTGCATCCACGCCACCCTGCGCCATGTGTCTCTGTCGTCTGCTCACGCTGCTGACGGCTTCCGCTTTTTAACCTAGGCCTGTGTATGGCTTCAGAATAATGCTGCCTACACCGCCACCCTGCGCCATGTGCCTCTGTCGTCTGCTCACGCTGCTGCCAGGTCCATACTGATTCATGGCCCCCTGTACCGGCTCCTCATGAACGTGGGTCAGCGGGGTTTGCATCACTTAACGGCAAATCGTGTGACAAACGCTGGGACGTTCAGTGTTGTGCGCATTAAGCCAGACACCAAAGGGCAGCACAGACCTGTTATTACTCGCTCAAGCTCATGTGGCTGAACAAAACCAGTCTCTACCACCCAAATTGGACCCAGACCTGCCCAGGGTCTCGTAAGTAGATTGCACGGAGGAGTAGAGTTCGTTATTGGAGAATTAACTGTGAGGGACTTTTAAACCTAGGCTGTGTATGGCCTTCAATTGAAGCTGCTTCTGCTCCGCCACTCTGCCATTGGACTCTTGATAGTCGACGACTATCAAGAGTCCAATGGCAGAGTGGAGGAGCAGAATGCAGCTTCAATTGAAGGCCATACACAGGCCTAGGTTTAAAAGTCCCTCACAGTTAATTCCAATAACGACAAACTCTACTCCTCCGTGCAATTTACTTACGAGACCCTGGGCAGGTCTGGGTCCAATTTGTGTAGAGACTGGTTTTGTTTAAGCCATGCTTGAGCGAGTAATAACAGGTCTGTGCTGCCCTTGGTGTCTAGGCTTAATGCGCACAACACTGAACGTCCCAGCGTTTGTCAACGATTTGCCGTTAAGTGATGCAAACCGCTGAACCACGTTCATGAGGAGCCGGTAACAGGGGGCCATGAATCAGTATGGACCTGGCAGCAGCGTGAGCAGACGACAGAGGCACATGGCGCAGGGTGGCGGTGGATGCAGCAGTATTCTGAAGCCATACACAGGCCTAGGTTAAAAAGCGCACATCGGAAGCCCGTCAGCAGCGTGAGCAGACGACAGAGGCACATGGCGCAGGGTGGCAGGTGGTGGAGAGGGCAGCAGCAATGGAAGGCCATACAGCACCCTATCACAAAATGGAACCCACCAACAGTGTAAGGAGACCTGAAAGTGGCACATGGCAGAGTCTGGTGATGAAGGTCAGCAGCAATGGGAGGCCGTACAGGGACCATGACACACTCTGGACCTGGCAGCAGCTAAGAGGAGGCGGTACAGTGGGCCCATGGCAGAGTGGTGAAGCGTAAGCAGTTAAATTGAAGTCCATACAGAGGCCTATGTTAAAAAAGTCCCCCCAGCAGCAGCGTGGGGAGACGACTATTAGTCGTCTCCCACGCTGCTGCTTGGGGGGGACTTTTTAACATAGGCCTCTGTATGGCCTTCAATTTTAGCTGCTTACGCTCCGCCACTCTGCCATGGGCCCCTGTTACCGCTCCTCATGCTGCTGCCAGGCCCGTTTAATCTGCCATGGGCCCCCGTACCGACTCCTCATGCTGCTGCCAGGTCCAGAGTGTGTTATGGGTCCCTGTACGGCCTCCCAATTGCTGTTGTCTCCATCGCCACACTCTGCCATGTGCCACTTTCAGGTCTCCTCACACTGCTGGTGGGTTCCATTTTGTCATAGGGTGCTGTTTATGGCCTCCCATTGCTGCTGCCAGGCCCGTAATCTGCCATGGGCCCCCGTACCGACTCCTCATGCTGCTGCCAGGCCCGTAATCTGTCATGGGCCCCTGTACCGCCTCCTCATGCTGCTGCCAGGTCCAGAGTGTGTCATGGGTCCCTGTACGGCCTCCCATTGCTGCTGTCTCCATCGCCACACTCTGCCATGTGCCACTTTCAGGTCTCCTCACACTGCTGGTGGCTTCCATTTTGTCATAGGGTGCTGTATGGCCTCCCATTGCTGCTGCCTCCACCGCCACACTGTGGATCCACACTCTGGTTTTGGCCCCGTGACTGCCCAAATGAGTGAAGTGTGCGGTGATTCTAAGATCGACGGCACTCTCTGCATGTCATACTGAGTTCTGACAGTATTATTTCTCTTCCCAGCAGACTCCAAGGGCATTTAAATTAAAAGTACAGTGTTCTGCATTAATATAAAGGCTTCTCTGAAAGCCTAGAAAACACCCTTTTTATAAGTTATAATTCGTCCAGCGAAATATATTCGCCTCGAATCACAATTTATTCCGCGAATCAGCCGAATCGAATTTTTGAATAATTCGCTCATCTCTAGTTATAACATGACAAGATGTGGAAAATTTCAAGTGGTATGAATACTTTTTCAAGCACTGTATTTTGAACTCAGACATAACTGTAAGATGCATCTACTTCTGTGAAAGTGGCAGTTTTGGAAACAGTGAAGCTCTTTGGAGAAGTTGGAAGAGTAATGGAAATGCATTAAGTATTAGTTCCAGAGGAAGAAAAGATTAGATACTTTTTGTCATAAATTGTCTAAAAGATGTTACAGTAATGGCACGGTGGGTTATTGTGACAGAATCAATCATTTACTCCAACTTATGCAGGCCATATCCGGGTTGAAAATCGGCCCATTTTCGCACGTTAATCAGTTAATTGGTCGGCCGTTTTTTTGGGGGTTTTGGCACATTTTTTTTTTATCGGTAAAGTTGGAAAAAATTGTACCCGATTTTGCCGATCGCCGATTTTTCCCAGCAATGATGGGCAAATCGGCCTCGGCTGATCGGTTTTTACCGATTAAAAAATCTGCGCATAAGCCGTGACCTGCAAAGAAGAAGAAAAAGAAGAATTCCAGTCTGCTATTATATTTGACATGAAAAGTATAGCGGTTGCAACAATGTATCTATTTGTATGCCGAATAAAACATCTGTATCTGAAATGGATACAAATGGATACATTGTTGCAAACACAATACTTTCTCATGTCAAATATAATAACGGAGCTCTCTGCAAGGGGACAGAAGTAATGATTAAATACCGGCGTAGACGAGTGACGCAAACCGGTTCCGATTTTTCTTTTTTTTGTTTTTTTTTTTTTTTTTTTTTTTCTCGTTAAAGTGGCGGTTTTCGACCCGTCTATGGCCTCGCCATTAGATTGAGGTCTTATTTTACAGTTAAGTACCTCCACTTTCCTTATCAACTAATATGGCATTATTCTTCATGAATTTGTCACAATACTGCCATACAGTAAAGAGTTTCCCAAATAAATATCTACTTGGATTTGTTGCACACACCAGTACTAACACAAAGTGTTTGCAAGGGCTTTTATGTGTCCTGGCGCAAAGGGCTTCAATATTACATACTTAACCACCAAAATTGTTTGCCACAGATTACCTTCTTGTATCACCC